AGGCTAGATGATCGATCAAAACCGATCGATCGTTCGCGTCGCTAACGTCAACCGGTCAAGTGTGACGATCCGGTGTCAATCCGCGAAAAATTCAAGCGAAATTTCATAAACGAGCAACGTACGTAACGGAGAGACGTTTCGGCAATGACTGTCGGAGGCCGTCTGGAAGCCACACAATTATACAACGACGGTGAAACAACTATGTCCGTATTATACCGCGCGTATATACACACACACACACCGTGCCGTGTTGCACAACCATGACACCGGCGCGATTCCGCAGCGGGCGAACGTATACTATGCTTCGTTTTATCCGAAAAATCCCTCGCTCAAACTAAAGTCTGTCGCAAAAGATTCCACTGTGAATTCTTTCTTTTCCTCCATCTCCCTCCCTCCCTTCCCCCTCGTCTCTCTCTCTCTCTCTCTCTTTCTCTGTTGCCACCACGCGCGATAGAAACAAAGCGATCGCTTTTCAGAGATCATCCATGTTGGCTTTAATTCTCGTGAGAAACTAAATTTGTTTAGCTACGCATTTCCACACTTTTGATTTCATTCCTCGTCCTCGCGTAGTAGTAACGGGAAGAAAAGAGCCATTAGGGAACGATACATTTTACGATACATCTCTTCTCCTTTCCTCTTCTTTGATTCCCTATTCTTATCTACCGATACTTTCAAGTCAAGTATATATTTGTTATATTTTTTCTGTTGTACTCTTTCTCTTAAACTTTTTAAGTGAGACCTTTATATTTTCTTCGCGTGAAAACTTTTGCACGATACGATCGCTTTGCATTCCGTTCTACAACGTTGTAAAAATTGAGGCCACGCCGGCATTCCCACTGTTACTCCGAGTAAGCAACGCGGTTACCACGAAAATAGAAATTTTTCGGACCAACGCTAATTTCCTCGTAAAGTAAATTGTTTCAATTTTTAAATTACCATATAATTTTAACTCTAGAATTTTTTTCTTATCAAAGTTGACATACGCAACTATAAATAAGACAGGCTGTCCGTATAGTGGTAAAGAAATAGATATCTTGTATACAATAAAGATACAATAAAATTTAACTGACGGGGAGTGTAGAAACATAACATACACTCGACGTGTAAAGTGCGATAAATTAAATTTAATTTTTGTCACGAGCTACATCGCGCGTTTTATATGACCGAATGATTTTAATTGATTTTAAATATCTTTGCATATGAGAATACGAAATATTAAGGTATATCGTTAAGATTTACTGTAATTCACTGTCATCGATTCTATTCGTTAAAGCGTGATAATTTAAGCTAAATTTCAATAGTAAAAGACAAAAAAAGCGATATATTAAAAAACGCGACACGAGAGAAGCTCAGCGCTACACGTTTCTTCACGGCAAATAATGCACGCGTAGAAATTGATACGCGTGAGACCGATATAGCGCGATTAAAAATCCAAACTCATCAAAAGAGAATCAAAGACAAAATTTTTCAGTTTCGTTATATACCTTTCCTTGTATACAAGATATTTCGAATGCCGACTGAATTCAACCGCCTTTCGATCGCTGCAACGCTCACGAGCAAAATATAAAATCTTTCGTACAATTTTTATAACGCAGAGAGCAATATAATTGTGATGATTGGGAAACACTTGGCTATTATTGATGTGCAAGTGCACATCCGCGTGCACGGATCCGCGTGTGGCTCGTATTACGCGCGTAAAACGCACATACGTACACGAACGTTGCACCGAGGTTACTGCAGCGGTCGCGGACCGCTTGTCGCGCTTGCGGGAATGAGTGCGGAAACGCGCAATGTCCGCACGAACCGGCGAGAGGGGGGAGAGAGAGAGAGAGAGAAGAAAAGAGAGAGAGAGAGAGAGAGAG